AATGAGTTAAGGCTCTGCAGGGACTGTTGGAAGGGTATGATTGTGTTCTGAAATGTGAGAACATGAGATTTGGGCTGGGGTGGAATGACATGGTTTTGGCTATGTGCCTGCTCAAATCTCATCTTGAATTATAATATTCATAATTCCCATGTGTTGTGGGAGGAACCTGATGAGAAGTAACTGAATCATGGGGGCAGTTTACCCCACACTATTCATGTGACAGTGAGTTACTTCTCACAAGATCTGATACTTTTATAAGTGTCTGGTAGTTTCCCTGCTGGAACTCATTCTCTCTCCTGCTACCCTGTGAAGGAGTGCCTTCTGCCATAATTGTAAGTCTGAGGCCTCCCCTCAGTGGAACTGTGAGTCAATTAAACTTTTTTCCTTTATAAATTACCCAGTCTTGGGTATTTCTTCATAGCAGTGTGAGAACAGACTAATGCACACATAAACCTTAAAGGTATGCATCCTGGGTAAGTATAATTGTGATTCTTACATTTTCTATAGTGAACATACAACACTTTTGAAATCAGAACAAAAGTGTGTTATTTTATAAAAGTCTAAATCAAGTTGTCAGATTTTTTTCAAGCAAATTTCCTACCCCAAAAAGCATCTTTGAATATCTTCCCCTCTCCTTCTTCTCCTTACTGCACATCTGCAGCCTAGGTTAGGCATCACTGTCCTGTACAAACCTCTGGTATAGTTCTCACATTGTATTATAAATGATATGTATGTATTTAACACTTTCACTGCTCTATGACTTCTTTTATCCCTATTTACCTAGTGCTAAGCAAAATACATGTAAAATAAATGCTTATTGAATAAATGAATGAGGGATGCTGCTTATGTCATCGTGACCCGCATTGATTCCTCACTGCCTTCAGGAAATAATGTGTATAGTCCTTAGGCTGATATTTGAAAATCCTTCATAATTGCATGTGACCTATCCTTTCAGTCTTTTTTTTCCATATTTTTGCCCCCACTTCCCCAAGTACATCTCTTAGCACAGCGCTCAATGAGGAGGGGTGGCATCTTTCTTGTTCACTGCTGTATCCAAGAATGTAGCCTCAGAACCTCTCAATAGATAGTCAGAAATTATTTGTTGAATTAATGATTAAATAAATTAATTAACTTCCTCAAAAATATTCTGTACTTGCCACTTTAGCATATTTTCTAAAGAGTTACTGCCTCCAATTTCTGCCTTATTAATTTCCTCTGTCAAGTCTCCAAGGCTTAGTAAAGTTTTGTCACCATTACAATCATTTTCCAATCTTCCTAGGCAAAACTAAATTCTTCTCAGTACAAATACAGCACTTTTTTGATATCTCCCTCCCATTATGGTGTATGTATGCTCTTTTGATGTTATTTACATAGTAACTACATTCTAAACTTTTGAAAGCTAAGGATTGTAATAATTTGATGTCTCTCTTCTCAGTTTTCTCCCATCTATTACATCTCAACTGTCCTAGATAGAATAGACTAGACTAACAACCTCTATTTACTAACTATTAACACAAGGATTCCTGGGAATCAGTTTCTTCATCTCTAAAAGATGTATAATAACATTATCTGCACCTCCAAAAAAATTATAATAATATCATTAATGTGCTTGGCACATAGTAAGTACTCAATTGCTACTAGTAAGTACTAATTGCACATCATAAGTACTAATAGCTACTATCAGTATTATCATCATTATTGTGATTAACATGATTAATACTAAAGTAAGTGCCTGTTAAATGGAAAAATCAAATAAATAATATTAAAGTAAATGCCTGTTAAATGGAAATGTCACTACCACAGATTGAGAAACAGAGAAGTTGATTTCAGATCAAATGTTGCACCATATTTTAGCAATGGGAGTGTTCCAAACATATCTGAGCCTCCCAAATGCCATACGCATCTGACTCCCACTTACATCTGGAAAGATTATTTGATTAGAACATTTGAGATAAACAACTGTGTTGAGAATAGAGAGAAATAGAAACTCTTATTTTGGCTGGGCATATAATGTGGTATAAATGTTTTGGAAAGCAATTTCTTAATATCTCATAAAGTTGAAGATACACATGCCCATTGTTCAGCAAATCAGTTTTGGAAACATTCACTAGAGTAATCCTTACATTTGGACACAAACAGGAATGTAATAGAATATTTTTATAGCACTACTTCTAATAGCAAAATGCCACACAGCCATGAAAATAAGGTATGCTATAAGAATCTACATCGAATACATGATTTCCATCGTATTTATACCACATTATATTCCATTTACGGTTTCCATAAAATTTTCAAACATTCAAAACAATACTATAGACTGTTTACAGCTATCTTCACATACCCAGCAGTGAAAAGAATAAAAGCATTTACAAAACAAATAAAAGAATAAAAACATACACTGCAGTGATATTGACAAAGACAGGATAGTGGTAATCTCTGAGGTTGAAAAGAGGGAATAGGATTAAGGAGGGTACCTTTTTATCTGTAATGTTTTATTTCTTAAACTGGGAGGTGAATACGTAAGTCTTTGCAATATCTACATTTAAATGTCTACTATGTATTACATGTATTGGGGAAACATCTAAATTAGGTGCTTTTCCCAGTGGAAATAGAAAACATACAAAACTCTTCTACCATTCCTGGAAATGAAACATGATGTCTGTTCTCCTGGCTGGGGATGAAGATGCTTCTGTTTCTTCCAAGGAAGACCCCTAGAAAGAAGCCTCTTATCTCTGGACAAGGTGGTGGCCATAGTAATCAAGAGAAAACTCCCAAGAGAAAATAAAACCTAGGAGGAAAGAGTCGGCATGCCCTTCCTCTGCCTTCCCATCCCTGAGTACCCGAAGATTCTTTCTTCAGCTCTCCTTTCCTGGAAGCTTGAGTCGGGTAGGAGGAAAAGCAGAGCTAGGTGCCATTTTAATGAAGAGCATATTTGTCTCCCCCATTTCTGACCTTCCCTGATGGCGCTCCAGAATTCCAATTCCACATGATTAACAAGGTAGTTTCCCTTTCTGTTTGAAGGTCCATTCTCCTCTCAATTTAAAATAGTTTTTGAGGTACAAAACTGCATTTCCCCACAAGAACTAGTTCCCTCTTTTTAGAAGGAAGTGCTACTGTCCTTCTCTCAAGCCACCAAGCTTAAAAACTCAAGATGACCAAACAGCAAAGATGGCAGCCTGCTCCTCCATCTGGGAGTTCTGGCCCAGGGAGTTTTCAAATTTCTGTAGGCTGGAGAACACCAGCGGGAATGGCCGGAGGCCCCGGTTGGCAGGTTCCACACCGTGAAAAGGAACGAGATTGGAGACCTGCTTTATGAAGCTGTATGGTCATGCTTTCGTGGAGCAGCTGTGTGTTGTGCTGGGGTACCACTTCCACCCTAGTCTACTCAGCATCTCCAAAGCCCACAGGCTGAAACATCTACAGCATGGAAAATGCCCACCCCTCTCTTTGGGAGCTCTCTATTTAAAAGAAGATATACATTTGGCTAACAATCCTATGAAAAAAAGCTCAACATCACTGATCATTAAAGAAATGAAAATCAAAACCACATAGGATACCATCTAACACCAGTCAGAATGACTACTATTAAAAAGTCAAAAAATAACAGATGCTGACAAAGTTGCAGAGAAAAAGGAATGTTTATACACCATTGGTGAGAGTGTAATTTAGTTCAGCCATTGTGGAAGATAGTGTGGCAATTCCTCAAAGACCTACAGACAGAAGAAATATCATTCGACTCAGCAATCCCATTACTGTGTAGATACCCAAAGGAATATGAATTATCCTATTATAAAGACATATGCACATGTATGATCATTGCAGCACTATTTATAATGGCAAAGACACGAAATCAATCTAAATGCCCATCAATAATGGACTGGATTTTTAAAAAATGTGATACATATATACCATGGAATATGACATAGCCATAAAAAAGAAAAAGATCATGTCTTTTGCAGGGACATGGATGGAGCTGGAGGCCATTATCCTTAGCAAAATAACACAAAAACAGAAAACCAAACACTGCATGTTGTCACTTATGAGTGAGAGTTAAATGAGGAGAACACATGGACACATAGAGGGGAACAACACACACTGGGGCCGACTGGAGGGTGGAGGTTAGGAGGAGGCAAAGGATCAGGGTGAATAACTAATGGGTACTAGGCTTCATACCTGGGTGATGAAGTAATCTGTACAACAAACCCCCATGACATAAATTTACCTGTGTAACAAACCTTCATATGTACATAAAATGAGTTAAAAAATAAAATAAAATAAATAAAAACTCAAGAGCAGCTTGGCTGTCACTATAGTTGTTGTTATTTAGTTTACTTTTTTATTGAATGACTCCTTCATGTCTTGATTCATTTCCATTTTAATTCCTACCACTCCTCATTTATTCACGTTCAGCTTATTGAAACCTATTTCCAAGGAGCTCTCCTGCCGTCATGTCCCCTATGCTCTAATCTGCCTGCACACTGTGCCCTGGAGCAACCCCCAAAAGCATGGATTTCCACAGTCAGCTCTTGGTCAGAACCGTTTTGAACCTCCTGCTGTCTAGCAGCTGAAGACTAAATCCCTTTAAAGCTTCCACAGCCAACCTTATTCCAGAATTATCATCCAAAATCCCCTAGAATACCCTCCATAGAATACCCAATATCCCTCTTTTCTTTCCAGCTGCACATAAAAACAGCCCATTGAATTTCACTTCCTAATTCTTGTGCTTGATATTCCCCCTACTTCAGTGTTTCCCAAACTTCAGGCATTCTGATACCTCATCATGATTTCTCCATTACCAATTGCCACCTGAACTACTTTTTACTTAACATTTTCTGTAAATTCACTCTTATTTTTGGTAAAATAACTATTTAAAAGGTTAATTTTTATTAGTACCATAAATGAAAAAACTGATACCTATTTTAATAAATAGGCAATAACTATATATAAATGTAATTTTAAGGGAGTAATTGGAGTAATTAAATTAAACCAAGTACTTTTTTACTGCTAACATTTATTGCTTATCTTGTGAGGGTCTTAAGGAAGCTTAAACAAGTGTTCAAAGAATTTTAAGTCATATCAAAAACAACAAAACTTATTTCTGAAGAATTGAAAGTAAGTCAAAAAATACAACTTTCTCAATCTGTCATCTTAACGTTATTGATCAGTCCATATGCTCCCTAAAATCACTTAATGTGCACAAAGTTTAGAAAACATTGCTGTACATGAGATACTTTCATTACCTCTTCCTACTGATCTCAAGTCTGCACATTTTTCCAGGCCTGCCTAAAGTTCCACCACCTCCCACAATGTCCTCTTGAAATTCAGGGCACTGTGATTGCCCCTTCCTCTGACAGCCTGGGTACACCTCTCTTCTGTGTTTTAGGAAGTCACTCCACTCTGCTTTTGAGTGTCTCGTATATAAGTTTTCAAGTTTATTATTTTTCTGGTCGCCAGTGATTATAGTTCAAAGAAAGGTTTATGGAGGTATCTTTTAATCCCGATACTAGGCATGACACCTTCTGTGGAGTGACTCTATGAACAGCATGAATGACTGATGAATTAGCACTTCCTCTCTTTAACTATTTATGAGGATATATCTCTGCTAGTAGATTAGGATTCCCTCGAGAGCTGCGCGTGAGTTTCTTCTAACCTCTAGACCCAGCCCAGTGGGAGTATATTGCAGGACTGCTAGAAATCTTTATCAAATGAACAAATGACAGTTCCTAGAGACACTGTACCGTAGGCAGCATTTGACAGCCAAAACAGGGCTGCCCTTTTAGAAGTATACTGTGTTCAGGGCCTCTGTAGCTTTCCTCCACTTTGGAGAATTGCAAGTTTCATTCTAACGCTACCCTGGACTTGCTGACATAGTGTTTACATTTATTAATATAGGGCATATCACATACAAATCTCTGCACACTCAACTTAAATGCCAGTTGTTATCACCTTCAGTTATCACCAAATACCATAAGGGATGTTTAGTCTTAATAGAGCCCTAGGCATATCTGTGGTCTTTCAAGAAATAATTCTCTAAAAATTCAACAGACATGTCTTCAAGTTCAAAATCAGTATAATTCCAAAATGTCTTTTGTCCTCCAAATCAGCGAATAAATTTTAAGATAAGATAGTGTTTAACAAACTTTGCCTTGGTAGTTTTAATTATCTCTAAAACACAAACAGATAAAAATATTCTATTTGTAAATTAGCTACAAGGAAGGTGAGAAAACTGGAATACATTTGCTTCAAGTTTTAAAAATGAGTCATAATAAACTTTCAAGCAAATTATAACTAATAATTATGACTTCATAATTTCTTGATTCTGTACACTACTGATGAAATCATATTAAAAATCACTCATAAATAAAAGATAGTAATGTAATTAAGTTAAGGGGGGTATAAAAGAATCGCCACTGAGGTAGAGACAACTTTAAGAATATACCTGAAATGCAACATTGTCACCTAGTAATTGCTATGTAAAAACCAGACACTAACATAGATAGGTCAATATCAATCCTAAATTAGACCCACTGAATATAGATTCAAGACATGTTTAGGGAATTAGGAAGACCTTTAATAAATAGAAGGCATTGAAATATTCACTACATGCTTTTTGATCTTAAAAATAAATAAAGATTTTTAAATCTATTTGTATTAATTGTGGTTAAAAAAAAAAAACATACAATTTACCAGCCTAACCATTTGTAAGTATTTATACTTACAAATTGTAAGTTCAATAGTATTAAGTATATTTAAATTGTTGTACAATCTCCAAATGTTTTCATCTTGTAAATTGAAACTCTATATCCATTAAACAACCCTCATTTATTCCTCCCGTAGCACCCTGGCAACTACCATTCTACTTTATTCTACTTTTCATTTCTGTGAACTTCGCTACTCTAAATACCTCACGTAAGTTGAATCATCCAGTATTTGTCTGTTTCTTTGATGCTTTCCAAGCTTAATTGAAACTTAATTAGGATGAAGCCAAGTTATACTCCATCATTTATCGTCTAACTACCTATTCAGTACAAAGCACTGTGCTAATTTCATGCTATTGACCTAATGAGGTAGATTATGTACACTTTACAGATGAGGAAACTGAGACTTTGCAAGGTGAAACATCTTGTCAATGGCCACAGTGGGGCTCTGATTGCAACTTTATGTAACTTCAAAACACAGTCTTTTTAACACATCTGTATGCTTTTTGAAATATTTAAATTTTTCAGGGGATATCAGCCATCGACATATTTGAAACAACTCAGAATCTTTTGTTTTTGCCTTTGATGGTTAATGTCACATGGGTTCCTCCTTTTTAAAAATAAACTACTTTATTCTAAACCATATCTCAAGGTATTCTGTCTTGAGGTTTATTCTAACACATGTCCCATAAGCCCACAGAATACCACTTACCTTCCCTTTATTTAAGCAGGCTTGATTTGTTAAGCAGTTGGTTTGTTAAATTTATCTGGAAATTATATAACTTCCTAGTGAGTACTACGTATCAATAGTGAAAGGAATATTATTTGTTTAAAAGCAACACTTACATTTGCGGAAACGATCCCCAGCTTCTTCAGTTCAGACACATGGTATTAGTGAATAGAAGTCACTCTACCAAAATTAGGTACTCTTCAACCATGCCTTGCTCCGTAGGCAGGCAGACACCTGCACCCCTGCTTCCTCAGCCACCTGGGACTTGAAGTTCTACCAGTGTGGCTCCAAGGCAGCCAAACCAGAAACCTTGAAAGGTAAGAGAACTACGATACCCACAATTCAGACTCCTCACCTGAAACCAGAAGAAGGTGTTTGGCTAGAGTTTCACCCTAAGAAGAAAGGAGAAGCAGGTAGAAAAGCAATTTAAAAAATCAGGTGGGTATATCTAAGAACAATCTGTAAATGTAATCCTATCTCTGTGAAAGGAAATAAAACTGGTTTAATGTTTGTCAGGGAATAAGCCTCATTGTTGGCAATAACCAAAAAATCTTTATGCAAACAAATCCTCATGCAGCCAGAACCTGCCCCACCAGATTCTCTTTCGGTGATTCAGAGCTAAAGGCACTTCACTGCCCTGTGAAACAGGTGAATGAAGGCTTCCTGGGTGAGTGACGGTGTCTAACTAGTTCCCCCTACATCAACACTGTGATTGTCACTCAAAGACGCTATAGATACAATGGAGGCTGTTTGACATTTCATCTTCTAAAATGCTCTGGATTTTTAAAAGAGCATTTTAAAATGTAAGCAAGAATAAACTTTTCTTGATATTTTCTTTCATTTTACTTTCCATTTCTGTGTTTTGTGTTTTCCTTCTGTATATTTCAGTATTATTTTGTTCAAAATTCAAGAAAGAGAAAATTAGGGCGAAGGGGATAAATAGTAAAACTTAGTAAAATGAAATGTGCAATAATTGCTTTACTTTTTTTGCAACATCAGCGACAGAATGTTAAAAAGAAATGTGCTTCTCAATTTGTTCATACAGCATCTCTCTCTCTCTAGCCTATTATTTCCTGTTAGACACATTCCAGAAAAATGAATAGAGACACGCCCTGGCTTGTTCTGGGTTCAGAAACATAATAGAAGGATTAATCTAAAGTAAGGAGATGGTAGAATGGTGACAAAGAAAAAGTTTCCTTTCCCTTTTCTGCACTTTCTCTCCTACCGTTCTAACTGCCCCTTCCTCCTCAATGCGTCCAGTCCTGGGGCTTCATGCCGCCCAAATCACCGAATCCACCCAGATTCCCTTTGAAGTTTCCCCTTGAGTCATCCGACAATCCATACTAAGCTGCTCTGTTTCTCTTTGTCACAGTTCCTCAACTCTCTACTAGAGCCTAACTTTCATTTATGTCATTATATTCCTTCCAAAACAAATGGTTCTTAATTTCACCAAACCCTACAGGTGGCATTCTGCATGCTGTTTCTCCTCTCTGAAATCATCTTTGCTCATCTTTAAATGTTCAGAAATTTCCTTTTTTTCAAAGCTCAATGAAAAACACTCTTCACCAAGATGCCCTCCTCAGTCTGTCTTAATCTGGGTTGTTCTCTTCCTCCTTATCAATTCCATAATATTGTATCTGCTTCTCTCATAACACATTGTGTATCTCATTTCATTGGTTTAGGTGGGTGTGTGTGTACATACGCAGTCTTACATTCCTATTTGAAGGCAAGACCTTATTGTATCTCCACCTCATTAACTCATTAATGTACATGTAGATGTTTGTGATAAACAAGCAATGCATAAAATAACTGAGATACTAACTCTGAGGTGTGTGTGTGTTAATGCCTAATGCCATCTTTCTCTCTCCCAGAAAACATTTACATTTAAAGAAATCTCTAAATGCCATACATAAATACTGTTATCAGAATCCCCCTGCAGTCTAGTCTGGTGTGGCTTCCACAGCTTTTATCTGCAGAAAGGCAAGGTATTAAATCTAGCAATTCAGTCCTTGTCAGTACCCAAAATAAAATCCCTATTAAGTCAGCACTCACTGTTTTACCACCTCCAGTCCCTGATGTGCACTTGCTTTCCTAACAGCTTCCCAAGGACTGGGCTCCCTAGAATCCTCAGTCTCGTGGTCTTGGAGACCTGGCCCTACCTCCATCTATGATTTTTTATTATCAGCATTTATGGATCCCTTCCCCTATTATCTAATCTACCGGCTCTAAAGAATGAACTTTGCTATTTGGACTATTTAAATAGTTCTTAACCACTGATGTCCTTCACCCAGGGAAGGGAATTATTTCAACGGTTGCTAGTTCCTCATACCTCTGCCTCTATGGGATTCTCCTGGTCCCCAAATGCTCTGCTGTGTCTTCTAGATGTCAGCCACTGTGGAGAAAGTGAACATTCTAGATCCTGCCAATTCATACAATGAGTTTTGTATGGACCATCGTACACAAAGGCTGACTGGTGAAGGTAACTGTTGTCTGGAAAGTTCTCCCAGCTCTCCTCTACTTATCTCATAAGGACCAGTGGCCCCGTAGCCTGCTTGTGTGAACATCACCAGCTATGTAAAGTTGGGCCGTTAGCTCATCCTCAGCAGATGGCTCAGGATGACTTTCTTAAGAAAGTCTCTTCTGACCTCCTTATCCCTATCGTGTTTCTTGTACTGACTTATGCAACAGTCACAACCAACATAGAAGCTGAAATTCCAGTGACTCACTGTCCCAGCTGCCCTTGTAGATCAGGAAGAGGCAAAGCAGTTAGAATGGCAATCAGACACAGCTCTCTGGGGCCAGGAATTAGGAACTGGTGACGTAAAGAAAGAGGGACAGAAGAGAACCCACTCTACAGTGAGCAAGGCAGCTGTGCAAACAACATGCTGTTCCGGATGTGACTGTGGTGGCTGTGGGGTCCAGGGTCCAGGGCTCATGGTACTGCTCATGCAAATTGTGGTTCCTAGGCCTTAGCAGAAACAATGAACCTGTTCAGTGATATTATTTTGGCTGCTGCTCTGGCTTTGTAAGACATGTGCCTGATTCTTCAGCGATTCTTCAGCAGTTCTGGGACTGGAGTTTGGTGTGCTGCTCTTCACTTTAGATCTGCCACAGTCATTTGATGTTGCTTGAAGCTAAAATCTCTGAGTGGTACCTACCTGTCACACAGCTCTTACCACATTGTCACTACCTACCCAACTAGATTCAGACTCCATCAGATCAAGGACTGGATTTTATTTATCTCTAAATATCCTAAATCTCCACAGTGCCTGGCTATAGTACATATATATTTTGACCTAAATTGAATGGATCAATAAAATGAGGAAGTCTCTCTTAAAGTTCCTTCTAACTTAAAATGTGTCTGACCACATGGAAGCTGTCAGGTTGCTCATGAATGCAGAGTTAATACTTTTCCCTTAACTAGGTTTAGAATTTAGACTCTACCCCTTCTCTCTATCTCAGAGGGAACAGGTTAGTGATTTCCTCCACTGCAGAGGGAACTCAAACACACAAGCTATTGTTTTTTTATTTTATAATCAAAAGAGTTTTTTTTTCCTTGTGTTTTTTTTTTTTTTTTTTTTNTTTTTTTTTTTGTATCTTTTAGTGGCCTGTATCATATGTTAAAGTCACTCATGTTCGGCCTCTATAATACAAATACACCAGAAAGAGTGATAGGAAACAGCATATTCCCCCACATGTTCAGATTTTTCTCAGTATGACATTATCTTGGAAAGAGAAAGGCCACATTTGCAAGCTTAGAAGAAAGTTCCCCCTGGAGTTTTTACTCTGTCCTGTTTCAGTATGTATTAACTCTCAGAACCTGGGCGGCTATGACATCCGTTTTCTGGGTCACTTTGTCCCTGAGTCATTATCATCCTGTAACTTTCTGAAAACATTTGACTGTGCCATTTACAAGCTAATTTCAGTGAACAGCTTAAATCATAGTAAAATGTTAGGGCCAGAGTAAATTTAGGTCACAATAATTTTATTTCCCTAGATTAAGAAAGAGAGCCAAGTTGTTGTAACAATTTCATACTTTCCTTCATTACATCTTTTTGGAGCTTTACTCAACCGTAAGATGAATTATCCATAAATTGACCCCCACAAAGCTGTGGTTTAGATGTTCATCACTGTTTTCTTTCATTTGTTGCTTTCAGGATAACATGCACAGAAATATGGGCCAACTCTTCACATGAGCACAAGATATTTCCATGCTACCTTTTTGCAAGTAATCAACAACAGAGAGAGCTCTGTGCAGTTTTCACTGGAATGCCTATGGATTACCTGTGTCATAACTGTACTCTAAAGAGTTGACCATTTGTTGAATCCTCCCTATTTGTATTGGTAGAATTGGCACTATCAAACCAAGATCATTCTTTGGAAAGATCTTTAGCTGTCTTTATATCAACTTCTCTGGAGCTTATGTGATTTTCCAGAAAATTTCCAAGACATAATTTTGTCCCTAAGTCCCATGAATATGTAATATTTTGTGTCTCTCTATTAAAATAGCACTTTTGTGCATTTCATTAACAATACATGTGTATGTGTTGGTGTGTGGACTAGCATATCAACTACTTCACCCACTTCAGTGGGAAAAATAATTTACTTTGAGTTTCTAGAATACCAGATAGTAAGTAAGTTCTATGAGAATGGAATATCAATGTTTAATTATATTCTATAAAGCTCACAATCTAGAAACCGAAGACAAGGGGGTGGCAGATATTCCTAATTCATTTCCAAATATGTTTACATAATAGGCTTCATTATATATGTATATATATCTTACACATTCTACACAAGAGAATGTCAAATTTTTTTAAAATATTAACATCTATTCACATACTGCTATGTTCTGTGGACACCATCAGTGGGATTTTACAGGAGTAGTTAAATTTTTCTGACAATTGTAAACTCTGTAAGAAAGAAGCAGCATATTTTATATCCTGGGAATATTCTCTCTTACTTTGCATGCTTCTAATAAGTATTATACCACAGTGAGCTCTATTCTCTAACTTGAGATTAAAAGGTTGAATACAGAGACACAGATAGGTTCACTGACAAGGGGCCAAATCCCAATGTTCTCTGACATAGATGAGGAGTGCTTTAAGTTACCCATCCAATACCCCATAAGAATTTCCACTTCGGATGACAGAGTCTGCATGAGGCTGACTTCTTACATTCTCACACATTCTTTTGGTGCTAACATATTCGTTCTAACTGCATTAGCTTTCAATTGCTGCTGCAACAAATTACCACAAATTTAGTGGTTTAAACCATATGAATTTAATGGCT